TCAAGACATCAGCCAGGAAATTAAAACTTGGCCACAAATGAGTCTTCTAAACAGACCATGACCCTAAGTAAGCATACTGCCAAATGAGTTCAAATGTCTTTTAAGGACAACAGAGTGAATGTTTTGGAGTGGCCATCACAAAGCCCTGAGCTCAATCCTATAGACAATTTGTAGGCAGAGTTGAAAAAGCTTGTGCAAGCAAGACCAATAAATCTGACTCAGTTACAGCAATTCTGTCAGGAGGAACGGGCCAAAATTCCTGCAAACTATTGTGAGAAGCTTGTGGAAGGATACCCAAAACATTTGACCAAAGTTATACAGTTTAAAAGCAAAGCTAAACAAATACCAAGGAAATGTGTGTGAACTTTCGACTGTCTAGAAATTAATAAAAATTTCTCAAAAAAATAAAAAAATTCTCTCATTATTCTGGCATTTAGCAAATGTGGATCATTTAGGTAATCCTAACAGACTTAAAATAGTAAACATTTAGTATGATTTACCAGGAGACATTTAAAAAAAATGGTTATGTTCCTTGTTCAGAGTGTACGTAAACCTCTGGTTTCAACTATATGTATGTATGTATGTATGTGTGTGTGTGTGTGTGTGTGCGTGTGTGTGTGTGTGTGTGTGTGTATGTATGTATATATATATATATATATATATATATATATATATATATATATATATATATATATATATATATAATATGGCAAACAAAGTCCATCCCATCTAGTTTCATTTTTGGAATATCGCATTCAAATCGCTTAATAGAAATGTAAGATGCACATATATTTTTAAAATGTGCATAAAAAAAACCTTGTGCACACAACTGAGTAGGATGCATTATTATATGATTAGAAAAATGTGCATAGACTACAGTGGAAACACATTTACTAAATAAATTGCAGCATGTGCATCAGTAAAGTGATGTGATTTTGTTTTAACAGATCATATGATGATAAAATGTGTGTAATTGGACAACATTAATGGACAAATCAGCATTTCTGAAATGTTGTTTTGCTCATTCTAAAATCCCTTAGCTAAAGTCTGTCATCACAGTGGTTCAGTATTATTATTATTCTATTACTATTCCCTCCAGAACTGTCTTGAGCATCTGTCTGCTCCCAAAAAGCGTCTCATGCCTCCATAAGCCATTGCATTGCGCTCATTACATTTTGTCTTCTGAGGTGCAACTCGGTTATTAGAGAAGAAAAAAACACCACAGTGGCTTCTCCTACCACACAAAACTCTGTCTTATATTTGCTCCAGTTTATCAGGAAGTGATGATTTTGTTCTCTTTGACTCATTGGATAGAAAAGCTGCTTTATTGACAAATGTTTTATGCGATATTCCAGTTGTTTGCATATGTTTAATTCAAATACTTGAATGGAAACATCTAGGAAGGTCTTATGAAGTAAAACAATTGAACAAGGAAATGAACATTATTTCCAAGATTATTACCTCAGACATTCATTCATTCATTCATTCATTCATTCATTCATTTTCCTTCAGTTTAGTCCCCTTTTTTATCAGAGGTCGCCACAGCGGAATGAACTGCCAACTAATCCAGCATATGTTTTACGCAGCGGATGCCCTTCCAGCCGCAACCCAGTACTGGGAAACACACACACGCACACTCATACACTACAGCCATTTCAGTCCAATTCACCCAGAGGACACCCATGCCAACACGAGGAGAACATGCAAACTCTACACAGAAATGCTAACTGACTTAGCTGGGACTCGAACCAGTGACCTTCTTGCTGTGAGGCCACAGTGCTAACCTCTGAGCCAGTGTGCCGCATTTACCTTAAACAATCGTCTTTAAAAACAAGAAAAAAAGATTAGATCTTGTCCTCGTTCAGTATCTCCTTTTGCTCTTTGTTCAGTTCCAAAAGTGTCTTTGAAGGATTGAGATCATACTTTGATTCAGAGAGTTTTGTGCTGATGGTGATTTTGTGCTTCTCCATTGTGACATTAATATTACCCTCTCCCATTTCAAAAGCCTTCATCACGGCCTCTTCACTTTTACTGTGAGCGAGTGAGAGATTTATAGCTTTTGTTACGACTCATCATAAAAACTGACATCATGTGTTACGGCCGGGTCAAATGGCAGAGGAAATTTTGTACATTTTCTCAAAATTTACTGTTACTAAACTAATTTCTAAAATGAAGTGTTTTTCAGCACTATTCAGTGCATTCCACAGGTTTGAAATACACTTGCGGTTGTAGCTGGATTAAACACAACTTTACGCACATAACATAAAGAGTTAACTATATGCAACAAATAAAGCTATTTATTTTTAAACAATAATTAAATTTATTATGACACTGTTATACACTGTTTCTTGTTAATGAAATAAAGTGAAAAAAATGGGTCCCACTTTATATTAAGTGTCCTTAAATACTATGTACTTGCATCAAAAAATAAATACAATGTACTTACTGTGTTCATAATGTATTTGAGAACACTTGTGGTGCTCTTGAGTTGGGATATGGACAGGTTTGGTGGCATGGGTAGGTTTAAGGGTGGGTTAAGGTGTAAGGGATGGTCAACAGTGTACTTACAAATGTAAGTTAATTACAGATTTAATTACATACAGGTGTTTAATCAAGCATAAGTACACAATAAATACATGTATTTGCACAATAAGTACATTGTAACAAACTATTAATCCCTGTGTAAGTACATATTGGTTAAGGCTACTTAATATAAAGTGAGACCAAAAAATGACATTTTCGTTTTCCACAATTTTTTTATGCTAATCAAGTACCATATGCACCCACTGACAGGCAAAATCTGCATCTCTCTCTTTCAAGTTCAGAGCAAACTTGAAGTCCAAAGATTTCTAGATATGTATATAAAATAGCCTAAGTAATATATTAACATCATCAAATAAATGAAACAATCAGCAAATGAGAAATACATGACAGAAAAAGGAATAAAAACAGACAAAATCTCTAAAATATCTCATAATTATAAGAGTAAAACTTCTAGATTATTTAAAGAAGACAAATGTGTTGATTAACCATTACTAATGGAGTACATACAGTTGAAAGCAGAAGTGTACATACACTGTGTAAAAAGGCACATAACCATTTTAAAAAGTCAGATGTTAATTGGACTAAACTTTTTCTCTTTTAGGTAAGTTAGGATTGTCAGATGTGTTTCTGTTTCTTAAAGCAGAATAATGAGAGAGATATTCTTTGAGAAATTGTTATAACTTTTCTTGAAAGTCAAGTTTGCATACAATAAGATTATTCTGCATCTGAAAAAGCTCAGATGATGATGTCAAGGTTTTGGAAGTTTCTGATTGGCTAATTGACAACATTTGAGTTAATTGGAGGCACAACTGTAGAACAGTATTACAGGAAAACCTCAAACACACTGATTTCTTGTGTGACAACATGGGAAAATCAACAAGCCAGAATCAACAACAAAGCCAGATTACAATTTCCACAATTACACTGGGAAAAAGACTCATTTCTGGAGACATGTCCTGTGCTCTGATGGAGCTAAGATTGAACTGTTTGTGATAATGACCAGTGTTACATTTGGAGGACAAAGGGGAAAGCTTACAAGCCTAGGAACACCATCCCAACTGTGAAGTATGGGGGGGGGGGGGGGGGGGCAGCATCATGTTGTGGGGCTGTTTTGCTGCAGGAGGGACTGGTCCACTTCACAGCATTGATGGCATCATGAAGAAAGAACATTATATATAAATACTGAAGCAACATCTCAAGACATCAGCCAGGAAATTAAAACTTGGCCACAAATGGGTCTTCCAAACAGACCATGACCCTAAGCATACTGCCAAATTAGTTCAACTGTGCTTTAAGGACAACAGAGTGAATGTTTTGGAGTGGCCATCACAAAGCCCTGAGCTCAATCCTATAGAACATTTGTGGGCAGAGTTGAAAAAGCTTGTGCGAGCAAGACAGCCTACAAATCTGACTCAGTTACAGCAATTCTGTCAGGAGGAATGCGCCAAAATTCCTGCAAACTAATGTGAGAAGCTTGTGGAAGGATACCCAAAACATTTGACCAAAGTTATACAGTTTAAAAGCAAAGCTAAAAAATACCAAGGAAATGTGTGTGAACTTTCGACTGTCTAGAAATTAATAAAAAGATCATTATTCGGTCATTTAGCAAATGTAAATCATTTAGGTAAACCTAACAGACCTAAAATTGTAAATGTTTAGTATGATTTACCAGCAGACATTTTTAAAGAAATGATTATGTTCCTTTTTTTTAGAGTGTGTGTCAACTTCTGGTTTCAACTGTATATTTTGCAGCCAGTTTAGATCAGTCATTTCATCCTAGATAGAGTCATTTGGATAAACAAACAAATTATTGTATGTCGCTCTCTCACAACTGTGCGTGCACAGTCAGCTGAGAAGCCAAGCAAAAGTAGGCTTCAGTAAAAATTGCATACGAGATATAGAAGCATAAGTTGAATCCTGGACATTTTATGAAATTTAGAACCGGGCCGGTGTGAAGAAATCGAGTGCCAAAAAGGCGTGTCTGTGTGGGTGTGCAGAGCATGTGAGACTGTCTGTGAAGTTTGACTGATCTCGCACTCACACAACAAAACAGTAAACAAGAGAAGACTTTCCACTACTTAATCGATCACGAATGTTTAGTTAGATTGGGCAGAAACAAAAAAATCTAAGATGATGATGATAATAACAGCAAAAAATGTCACTAAATATATTTTGGGGCCCATTAATATGGTTATATAACTGTGTTTAATCTACATATAAAAGTGGTTTCCCCTTTATCTAAAATGTCTTTTTGACCAATAGTCAGATTTTTTTTACTAATATAGCCTTGATTCTTACTCCATCATCTTGTTTGCTTTGCTGTGTAAATGCAAGTAGTCAGCTCCACACGTGCCCTTACATCACTGTCGTCCAGGGTTCAGAGGTCAGGCATCATTTGTTCACAACACATGTCCTCATCTGCCATCCTCTGCTTAGATTAGCAGCACGTTCATTGGGCTGGAAACCTGTTGAAGCAACTGTTCCCAAAGCCCAGAACAAAGACGTGAAGAGAAAGTCTCCAGTGCTTCATTTCCAGAGCAGACGGCGACCAGAAAGCAACACCAGCAGTCACTTTCTTCTGGAAACCTTTCCTCCTTTATTCATGCTCAGAGTCCTGTTTGCAGCACATTAGGTAAGGGATGCTATTTTTGGATGTTTTCTTTAAGTTGCTCTAATAGTGTATGTAGGATGAAGATTTTATTTTGTTGTAATTAATATTGTAGTTATTAGTTTCAACTGGGGCAGCACGGTGGCTCAGTGGTTAGCACCTCACAGTAAGAAGGTTGCTGGTTCAAATCTCAACTGGATCAGTTGGCATTTCTGTGTGGAGTTTGCATGTTCTCCCCGGGTTGGCCTGGGTTTGCTCCGGCTTCCCCCACAGTCCAAAGAGGTGCTATAGGTGAATTGGAGGAACTAAATTCGCCGTAGTGTGTGTGAACTTGAGTGTTTATGTTTCCCAGTACTGGGTTGCTGCTGGAAGGGCATCTGCTGTGTAAAACATATGCTAGGGTAGTTGGTGGTTCATTCCGCAGTGGCGACCTCTGAAATATGGACTTGAGCTTTGAATAAGTTGGAACGGGAATTTATTTACACTGTAAAATAACAACAAGTGGACATTACTTAAAGAGAGTAAACCCATTGCTGTAATATTAAGAAGTAAACAAACTCTGTTCATGATTATAACAGTGAAGTCAATGGGTTTACTGACTTTAAGTTAAATCAACTTGTTGCCTTTAAAGCAATGGGTTTACTCATATTTAAAGTAAAGTAACTAATAGCTTTTTACAGTGCAGAATGGGGTTTTGTTTAATTGTTTTTATTGATTTAGCTTCGTTCAAGTTCTGCTTTCTTTCTTTTTTTCATTTATCTATTTATTGTAAATTCCCCGTCTCATTTAATGCATTTGGTTTGCTTTTTGTAGATCTTGCTGACAGGTTAACAAAGAAACAACAACCTGTACGTTTAAAGATTTCCTTTGTTTTAAATCTCCCTTACCCCCTAAAACATCCTTGGAGACATAGCAAGAATTAAAACTGCATTTGCATGTTCTTGATTTTGCATTACACATCTTTGCTAAAAAAATAAATAAATAAATAAATTAAAGGGAGGACGACTCTAATAAAAACATGCTGATCTGCTATTTTTAGATATTTAGTTAGAGTGTGGGTTTTGCTTGATTGTTTTCTTTGATTTAGCTCCGCTCAAGTTTTTATTTTTGTATTTTTTGTAAATTCCCCGTCTCATTTAATGCATTTGCTTTGTTTCATATAAAAGGTTAACAAAAAAACAACAACCTGGACTTTTATAGACTTCCTTTGTGTTGCATCTCCCAATACCCTTCTATAAGATCTTTGGAGACGTAACAAGGGTTAAAACCTTAAATCTGCATCTTCAGTCCTGTAATGTGAAGCCATTTTTCTTTTCTTTTTTATCTTGATTTTGCATTACACATCTTTGCTCCAAAAAAAAAAAAAACACATCAAGGGAGGACGACTCCAATAAAAACACGCCAATCTGCTATTTTTAGATTAGTTAGGGCGGGATGTTTTTTTAAAATTTATTTTAATTATTATAAATATTTTTGATCTATTTTTGTAAATTCCCCGTCTCATTTAATGCAATTTCTTTGCTTCTTGTAGATCTTTTCTGCGATCTTACTGACAAAGGTTAACAAAGAAACAACAACCTGGACATTTAAATTGATTTTCCTTTAAGTTTCACATCTCCCATACCCCCCTTAAAAAAACATTTGGAGATGTAACAAGAAGTGAAACTTTAAATCTGCATCTTCAATCCTGAAATGTGAAGCCGTTTTTTTGTTCTTGATTTTGCATTAAACACCCTTTCTCCAAAAAAAAAAAACTAAAGAAATCAAGAGAGGACGACTTCAATAAAACAATGCAGATCTGCTATTAGATATTTAGTTAGAGTGGGGTTTTTGTTGGTTGTTTTCTTTGATTTAGCTCCGCTCACCTGTTTTTTTATTCACCTGTAAATTCATCGTCTCAATTAATGCATTTTCTTTGCTTCTTGTAGATCTTTTTTGCAATCTTACTGACAAAGGTTAACAAAGAAACAACAACCTGGACATTTAAAGATTTCCTTTTTAAAGGTTTCCTTAATGCATTTTCAATACCCTCCTAAAAACATCTTTGGAGATTTAACAAGAATTAAAACCTTAAATCTGCATCTTCACCCCTGGAACGTGAAGCCTTTTTTGATTTTGCCTTAAACTTTAAACTTTTAAAACTTTTCTCCAAAAAAAAAAAAAAAAATGAGGCGAGGACAACTCCATTAAAAACATCTGCTTTATTTAGATTTTTATTTAGAGTTGGGTTTTTGTTTGATTAGATTTCTTTGTTTTAAATTATTATTATTATTATTATTTAATAAATTTATTGTAAATTCGGCGTCTCATTTTTTTTTGTAATGAGATCTTTTCTGGAATCTTTTTGACAGATTAACAGAAACAACAACCTGAACATTTAAAGATTTCCTTTGTTTTACATCTCCCAAACCCTCCTAAAAACATCTTTCGAGACAAAACAATAATTAAAACCAATCTGCATCTTCAATCCTGGAATTTGAAGCCATTTTTTTCCCCCCTTAATTTGCATAAAAAAAAAAAATAAAAAATTCAAGGGGAAGCACGACTCCAATAAAACATGCCGATGTGCTATTTTTAAATATTTACAGAAAGTGAGCTGCTTCTGTGCACGGCCAGACTGCGAGGGTCACCCGGAGGTCTCCTTATCTGTTCTCAGTCACAGAGGAAGTTTTGACAGCCAGACTTTACAACCTCCTCTTTGCTTTTTTTGCACAAGCTCTGACAGAAACAGAGCGGTGACTTCATCCCTCATTCACGAAAGCTTCCCCTCCTCTTTCTCTCTCTCTCTCTCTCTCAGACATGCCAGCCGTTTTCCTCTTGCTGCGCTCTCTGGTTGTCCGACTCTTCGGTAGTAGATTAGCAGCGTCAGGCGTGCAGCTCCTCCGCAGGATCCTGACGACAGCGACTGGGCATCTCGGAACCGTCCTGCGCAACATCTGGGAGCGGATCAGCTCACAGCAGTCCAAAGAAGCCATCCTGGGCTGCGTCCTGTGCCTTCTTAACATGCACAAGAAGGTGGACAACTGAAATTACACGCGAGACAACAAGACTTCTAATTTTTGTATTTTCCATTTTTGTTTAAATCTCAGACTTGAGGACAGATCGGTTCGCAGGAGTTTAAGAAAGATAATTTCAGCATGCACAAGAAGGCGGACAACTAATTGCATGCACAAGAACTACATTTCTGATTTTGCATTTTTTGGAGGAGTTGATTTTATTTAAATCTCCGATCTGAGTACAGATCAGTTCGCAGGAGTCTTTTTTTTGCATGCACAAGGCAGAAAGCTACAATCACATGTTCAAGAACTTGCATGCACAAGAACTACATTTCTGATTTTTGTGCTTTGCTTTTTTTTTAAATCTCAGATCTGAGGACAGATCAGTTCAGGAGTCCAAGGAAGACATTTTCATCATGCATAAGAAAGCAGACAACTACAATAGTGTGCACCAGAACTAGATTTCTGATATAGTAATTTTTTTTATTTGATTTAAATCTCTGATTTTAGAACGGATCAGTTCGCAGGCATCAGAGTAAGCCATTCTCAACATGAACATGATGGCGGACGACTGAAATTACATGCACAAGACTTAAACTTTTAATTCTGTATTTAGTTTTTTCGCTTATTTTTTGTTTTTATTCTCAGATCTGAGAACCGATCTGTTCACAGGAGTCCAAGGAAGCCTTAATCAACACGAACATGATGGTGGACAACTAAAATTGCATGCATAAGGACTGAATTTTTTTTAATTCAAAGTCACTGTCATTGTTGTTTTAAATTTCACATCTGAGATCGGATCAGTTCAGAGGAGTCAAAGGAAGTCTCAAGAGTTTGTTTTCATGCTTAAGAACTTGAATTTCATCTGCACTCCATATTTTTATTTATTTATATATTTTTAATCTCACATCTGAAAACGGATCAGTTCCCTGGAGTCTAAGCAAGTCCTTCTCAATATCCACAAGAGCTAAAAATTTCATGCACAAGAACTTTATTTGTTAGTTTTTATTTACACTCCAAATCATTTGTGTTTTACATTTGGGAACAGCGGATCAGTCCAAGGAGACCATACTGTGGTACATTTTGTGCAACCTCAGCATGCACAAGAAAGTGGACAACTAAATGTTCATGCACACATGCTACATATCAGACTTTTTGGCTTCGTTTAAACACTAAATAATTCTTATAATCAGTTTTTCTCACATCTGGAAGTCCAAGGAAGTCATTTGTATCTTGTGCAATCTCAGCAATTTCATGCACAAGAACTCAATTATTAAATTTAGATTTTTAAAATCTTATTTAAACACCAAATTAGGTTTATTATTATTATTATTATTATTTTTATTTTTTTTATCTCACATCTGGCAGTCCAAGGAAGCCATGCTTTTCTGCATCTTGTGCATTCTCAACAATTTTAATGCACAAGAACTACATTTCTGATTCTCTTGTCTATTCACGCTTCAAATAATAATTCAATCTCCTGCTGAGCACAAAACCATGTCGGAGAGCATCGTGAGAAAAATCCAGCCTTTCACCATCAGGACCAAACTCTCAGCGCCAGCCGTCACACCAAAGTGCTCCGACTTTCATGATGATTACCTTCCAAACCGGACATTTTCAGACAGCTGCAAACTGCGGCACCTAAACGAGCAGGTGTGTCTCTATCTGAACCAGCATGAAGACGAATCCTCTGTTTCTCCCAACCCTGCGTCCAGATCCATCCGCAAGATCACCATTTCCAGCCAGATGGACGCGCTCACTGCAGGCATGGAGCTGAAGAATATTAACAACAACAACAACAACAGAGCCTCCAACACACAGCTGCCTAAAATAGTGGGTGTCAGCTGTGAAAACAAACCCAACACTCATTTTAAGGTAAGACACACTTTGTATTGTTGTTATTTATAGGTTAAGGCATGATTTTCAGCCCTGCTGTGAAATTTTTATTATTATTTTTTAAATATTTACCAAATGAAAGAGTTTTTTCAGCACATTTGTAAGCGTATTAGCTGTAATAACAGATTTTTGATAGCGAGTTTCTTCGGTTTTTGTCATGATGATAGTACTTTACTATTTTGTAGGATACTAGTATTCAGCTAAAAGTGTAATTCAAAGGCTTAACCAGGTTAATTATGTTAATTAGGCAAGTGATTTTACAACAGTGGTTTGTTCTGTAGCCAATCAAATAAAAAAAAATCTCTTGAGGCCTAATAATACATAAAATAGTGGGTGTCCGCTGTGAGAACAAACCTGACACACATTTCAAGGTAAGACACTTTGTATTGTTGTTATTTAGTTCAAGACATGATTTTTAGCCCTACGGTGACATTTTATATATATTTATTTATTTTTTACATTTCAACAAATTGTTTAAACATAATACCTTTAATAGACTAGTTTTTTTAAACAAACCTTTGTCTGTAAACATCCTTTGTTATCCCAACACATCTCAATTAACTTAATAGTTTTTACAAATTTAACTGAATTGAATATAAAGCAATGAGCTTGTCCTAAAAACCTTTGTTTCAACTTATTTCAAATAAGTCGTTTAAACAAGCAGCAAAAGCCATTTTTCAATGCATTACTTAATACTTCACTAGTTATTTTGCAAGTATTCAATCTAAAGTGTGTTTAAAGGCTTAACTAGGTTAATTATGTTTATAATTAATAAAAAATGAATAAAAAAATCTCTTGAGGGCTAATAATAATAAAAATAGTGGATGTCAGCTGTGAGAACAAACCTGACACACATTTCAAGGTAAATCACACACTTTGTATTGTTGTTATTTATAGGTTAAGGAATGATTTTTAGCCCTACTGTGACATTTTATATATATTTATTTATTTTTTACATTTCAACTCATTTTTTAAACATAATACCTTTGATAGACTATTTTTTAAAACAAACTTTTGTCTGTAAAAATCATTTGTTATCCCAACACATCTCAATTAACTCAATTGTTTTTACAAATTTAACTGGATTGAATATTAAACAATGAGGTTGTCCTAAAAACCTTTGTTTCAACTCATTTCAAATAAGTAGCTTAAACAAGCAGCAAATTTTTCATTGCATTACATAATACTTCACTAGTTATTTTGCAAGTATTCAATCTAAAGTGTGATTTAAAGGCTTAACTAGGGTAATTATGCTCATAATTAATAAAAAATAAATAAAAAAATCTCTTGAGGGCTAACAATAATAAAAATAGTGGATGTCAGCTGTGAGAACAAACCTGACACACATTTCAAGGTAAGATACAGCTTGTGTTGTTGTTATTTACGGTTTAAGGCATGATATCTTAGCCCTACTGTGAAATATTTATTATTTTTACATTTCACCACATAATAGTTTTAATAAACTAGTTTTTTTAAATCAACTTTTGTCTTTGCCATGATGACAGTACATAATACTTTGTCAGTTATTATGCAAGTATTAAGCTTAGTGTAATTTAAAGGCGTAAATAGGTTAATTATGTTAATAATTAATAAAAAAATGAATTAAAAAAATCTTAAGAGGGCTAATAATAAATAAAAATAGCTTAAACAAGCAGAGAAGTAATTTTTTCAGTGCATTACATACTACTTTACTTGTTATTTTGCAAGTATTCAACCTAAAATGTAATTTAAAAGCTTAACTGGGGTTATTATGTTCATAATTAATAAAAAATGAATATAAAAATCTCTTAAGAGTGCTAAAAATAAATAAAAGTAGTGGGTTTCAGCTGTGAAAACTAACGCAACACAAGACACACGTTGTGTTGTTATGTACGGTTTAAGGCATGATATCTGAGCCCTAAAGTGAAATGTTTATTATTTTTACATTTCACCACATAATAGTTTTAATAAACTAGTTTTTTAAACCAACTTTTGTCTTTGCCATGATGACAGTACATAATACTTTACTAGTTATTATGCAAGTATTCAGCTTAAAGTGTAATTTAAAGGCGTAACTAATTGTGTTAATTAGGCATGTCAGTGGACAACAGGGGTTTGTTCTGTAGCCAATCGAATAAAAAAATCTCTTATGAGGCCTAATAATAAAATAAAATAGTGGGTGTCAGCTGTGACAACAAACCAACACTCATTTTAACATAAGACACACTTCGTATTGTTGTTTTTTTTTATAGTTTAAGGTATGATTTTTAGCCCTACTGTGAATTTATAATTCTTTTTTCTTTACGTTTACCAAATGAAAGTGGTTTTTCATCATATTTTTAAGCTTTTTAGTTGTAATGACTGATTTCTGATAGCTAATTTCTTTTGTTTTACTATTTTGTAAAATACTAGTCAGCTTAAAGTGTAATTTAAGGGCGTAACTATGTTAATTATGTTAATTAGGCATGTCAGTGGACAACAGTGGTTTGTTCTGTAGCAAATCGAATAAAAAATCCCTTAAGATGCCTAATAATGAAATAAAATAGTGGGTTTCAGCTGTGAGAACAAACCTGACACACATTTCAAGGTAAGACACACTTTGTATTGTTGTTATTGATAGTTTAGGCTTAGGCTTATATATTAGGCTTTTTAAGAAGACTAATAATAAAATAAAAATAGTGGGTAATGATTTTTCTCTAATAATTTACTTGAGTAAGAGTAAAAGTACAAATGTTTAAATGTACAGTTAAAGTGAGAATTATTAGCCCCCCTGTATTATTAGCCCCAGTTAATTTTTTTCCCCAATTTCAGTTTAATGGAGGGAAGATTGTTTCAGCACATTTCTAAGCATAATAGTTTTAAAAACCTATTTCTAATAACTGATTTATTTAATCTTTGCTATGACGACAGTAAATAATATTTTACTTGTTATTTTTCAAGACACTTCTATACAGCTTAAAGTGACATTTAAAGGCTTAACTAGGTTAATTAGGTTAACTAGGCAGGTTAGGGTAATTAAGCAAGTTATTGTATAACAATGGTTTGTTCTGTACACTATCGTTAAAAAAATTAGCTTAAAGAGGCTAATAATTTTGTCCCAAAAATGGCTTTAAAATTTTTTTTAAACTGCTTATATTCTTGCCGAAATAAAACAAATAAGACTTTCTCCAGAAGAAAAAATATTATCAGACATACTGTGAAAATTTCCATGCTCTGTTAAACATTATTTGGGAAATATTTAAAAAAGGGAAAAAAATCAAAAGGGGGCTAATAATTCTGACTTCAACTGTACTTAAAGTACACGTTACCCAAAATTTTACGCAAGTAAATACAGTATAACAAAGTAAATGAAATTCGCTACTACCCACCTCTGGACAACAGTGGTATGTAGACAATTAAAAAATAATTAATTCAAGCCAAACTCAAAGAAATCAGTATAATAATAACTAATATAATAGGAAATGTTTAGAAAAAATGTCTTTGTTCTTTTAAACATCACTTGGGAAAAATATTTGAAAGAGCTTTCAAATTTCAAAGGAGGGCAAATAATTTTGTCTTTATTTGTATGAATGTGAAAGCACATCTGAAGAAATATCAGAGGAACATCAGTGTGGTTTTGTGTGCTTCAGATGAAGTGTTTATTATGTAACGCTGCTCTTCCTGGAATCACTGCTGAAGTTCAAATGATGTCAGAGTTTCAGCTGAAAGACTATTCTGTTCACATTCAGTGTGTGTTCAGGTTCAGTCGGGCTTGGTTGAGTGTGTTTAAGAGGGTCAGCAGGAGATAGCTTGAAGAAACACTCACTCTGTTTATACTCTACAACAGTGGTTCTCAAACTGTGGTACGTGTACCACTAGTGGTACGCAGGCTTCCTTCTAATGGTACGCAGAGAAATTAAATATGTCATGTACATGCTACACACATTTCACAATTTATCAAAAATGATGTATATAATATGCCATATATGACTTATAGCCTATATTTCTGAGGTAATCTGCCACGTTTTTTAACTGTGCTGAGTTCTAGCTGTTTTACTGGGCCTACTACGCGACTGTATTTCAATACTGCTCATTTTGGTGGTACTTGGAGAGACAATTTTTTCCTGAGGTGGTACTTGATGAAAAAAGTTTGAGAACCACTGATCTACAATATACAGCTGAAGTTAGAATTATTCGCCCTCCTGTGAATAATTTTAGTTTTCAAATATTTCCCAAATGATGTTGAACAGATTCAGGAATTTTTCACAGTATTTCCTATAATATTTTTTCTTCTGGAGAAAGTCTTATTTGTTTTATTTAAGCTAGAATAAAATCCGTTTTTAATATTTTTAAAGTCATTTTAAGGTCAATATTATTAACGTCTTAAGCAATGTTTGTTTTGGATTGTCTACAAAACAAACCACTGTTATGCAATGACTTGCCTAATTACCCCAATTAACCCAGTTAAGCCTTTGAATGGCACTTTAAGCTGTACACTGCAAAAAATGCTTTTCTTACTTAGATTTTTTGTCTTGCTTCTAGTCCAAATATCTATAAACTCTTATATCTAGAAGCATTTTCTAGGCAAGCAAAACATATTGTCTTGTTTTCAGAAATAAACTCCAATATTAAATGAGTTTTTCCTTCAAACAAGTTAAATATTCTGCCAATGGGGTTAACAAAATAATCTTTTTTTTTTTTTGACATAAGATTATTTTGCTTACCCCATTGGCAGATTATTTCACTTGTTTGAATGAAAAACTCACTTCATTTTGGCATATTACATCTTAAAACAAGACAATACGTTTTGCTTGTCTAGAAAATTCTGCTTGATTTAAGAGTTTTTAGGTATTCGGACTAGAAACAACACAAAAAATCTAAGTAAGAAAAGCAATTTTTGCGGTGTATAGAAGTGTCTTGAAAAACAACTAGTCGATTATTATTTGTTGTCATCATGGCAAAGATAAAATAAATCAGTTATTAGAAATGAGTTATTAAAACTATTATGATTAAAAATGTGTTGAAAAAAAATCCTCTCCATTAAACAAAAAATAGGGAAAAATAAGATGATAATTCTGACTTCAACTATATTTATTAAATAATCAGTTTTAGTGACTTATTTCATCAAATTGAACAAAAATTTGTAAAGTTTCATTGGCAAGAAAAGCCAAAAATCGATCAATCAAATCAATCAATCAATCAATTAATCAATCAATCAATCAATCAATCAAACAAGCAAACAAGCAAGCAATCAAGCAAGCAATTTTAATTTAATTTAATTTAATTTAATTTAATTTAATTTAATTTAATTTAATTTAATTTAATTTAATTTAATTTAATTTAATTTAATTTAATTTAATTTAATTTAATTTAATTTTTTATCTTTTTTTACTTGTAACAATTTTTCCAGTAACAAAATTGTATATATGTTTTTTGTGGTTTTACTTTTTAATAATAATAAATCTAACTGTTGGCTTTTTGTTTGTGTAGGTGTTGCTGTGTAAAGATGGAGAAAAGCAGTGCAGTGCCGACAGAGAGAAATACTCTTCTTCACCACAGGTATCGTCATGATTAACCAGAATTACCTGATTCATGAGAATACTCCCTGAAAAAACTCCCTGAGAGCACAATATAGGATTAACATCTTGTTCATTTAGTCTTTGATTTTCCGTTTATGTTTTTATAGGCATTTTTCTCTACACTGATATATTAATCCTGATTAAATATTAATCCAAAAGTATAAACAAACAAACAATTTAGTCACATTAAACTTAGATAAAAAGTGTATTTAAATTGTTTAACATGTAAGTGGTTATTGTTATAGGTGCTTAGTGGTAAGCACTGTAGCCTCACAGCAAGAAGGTTGCTAGTTTGAGTCTCGGCTGGGCCAGTTTGCGTTCCTATGTGGAGTTTGCATGTTCTCCCCGTGTTGGTGTGGGTTTCCTCCGGGTGCTCCGGTTTCCCCCACAATCCAAACACATGCGCTATAGGGGAATTGAATAAACTAAATTGGCCGCATATATGAGTGTGTGTGAATGAGTGTGTATGGATGTTTCCCAGTACTGGGTTGCGGCTGGAGGGGCATTCGCGGTGTAAAACATATCCTGGAAGAGTTGGCGGTTCATTACGCTGTGGCGTCCACTGATGAATAAAGGGACTAAGCCGAAGGAGAATGAATGAATGAATGGTTATTGTTAAAAAGCTTATATTTAAGTTTATAGAGATTAAAGTAAACAAACATATAATATGTATACAAATATTTGAAGGATCATAAAGATTTTTCATGAAACATTTTCATGAGCTTTTTAATTTCCTTTTAATGAGAATGTTTTGGTGATTTTTATGTGTGTTTGCCACTCGTATTCATTATTCATGAGTGCTTTAATGTTTTTATTGTGTGGTCGTGTGTTAGAAAGAAATAATAATTTTTAGACAATTTATTTTTTATTTATTATATGTTTGTTATAGTCTTTATGTTATTATAATATTATAATATATTCAACTACTATTGTTGTTATTTTATCAAGAATTAATTTGCTTTGTTTTATTAAGTTTGTTTAAAAATTAATAATTGTTTTATATTTGCTTTTTGTTTGATTTATTTTGACATTTTCTTTCATTTTGAGTGATTTTTGTAATTTTCCACAGTATAAAATAATTGGTTTTGTGTTGTTGACACTTTTATATTATTTATTTATTTTCTTTCAAATGTGCATATTAGATTTGGTAATGGAAACATTAAGCCAAAAATGTATTATTTGTATTATTTTAACATTATTGATAAATCATTATAGTTTGTATAAATATTTTTAATTTAAGAATTAGTAAAAAATGTAATATACAGTTTTGATTTTAAAATAATTTTATAGTGTGTTTTGTATTTTTTAATAGTGTATATAATTAGTCTTCTCACAGTTTTATTCTTACAGTATTCTTACATTTTGTCATTTTAAAACATTGAGGTAAACAAAGAAAGTAAGAAAATGTGGCGTAATCGCTTTCATTGGAGAATTTTGCTGGCTTAATCCAATATAAATAATAAAAAACAACAGCTCCTCCTCTTCCGATAGCTCCTCCTCTCCATCATCAACTCCTCCCTTTCATCTTCAGCTCCTTCCCTTCATCATTATCAGCTCCTGCCTTTTATCATTACTTCCTCCCTTTCATCATTATCCGCTTCTCCCCTTTATCATCATCCTCCCCTTTACTCGCAGCATCTTTTCTACATTATTAGCTGCTCCCTTTCATCATCATCAGCTCCTCCTTTTTATTAGCAGCTCCTCCCCTTTATCATTTACAAATCCATCCCCTTTAGGAGAAGCTCCTCCATTTCACCATCAGCTTCTCTCTTTTATCATCAGCCCCTCCCCTTTATCATCAGCTCCTCCCCATCATCATCAGCTCCTCCCCAACATCATCCGCTCCTCCCCATCATCTTCATCAGCAGCTCCTCCCCTTCATCACTAGCCCCTCCCCTTTATTATCAGCTCCTCCCCTCCATCAATTTCAGCTCCTCCCCTTCATCATTATCAGCTCCTCCCCTTCATCAGCAATAGCTCCTCCCCGTCATCATCAGCTTCTTCCTTTCATCAGCAGCTGCTCCCCTTCACCATCAACTCCTCCCCTTCATCATCTGCTTCTTCCCTTCATCATCAGCTCCTCCCCTTAATTCTCAGCTCCCCCCTTCACCATCAACTCCTCTCCTTCATCATCTGCTTCTTCCCTTCATCATCAGCTCCTCCCCTTAATTCTCAGCTCCCCCCTTCACCATCAACTCCTCTCCTTCATCATCTGCTTCTTCCCTTCATCATCAACTCCTCCCCCTCATTATCAGCTCCTCCTCTTCATTATCAGCTCCTCACCATCAACTCCTCCCCTATGTTATCAACTCCTCTCCTTCATCATCAGCTTCTTCCCTTTATTATCAGCTCATCTCCTTCTTTATCAGCCCCTCCCCTTTATCATCAGCCCCTCCCCCTCATCATTAGCCCCTCCCCTTCATCATTATCAACTGCTCCTTCATCGTCAGCTCCTCCCTTTCATTATCAGCTTCTCACTTTCATCATCATCATCAGTTCCTCCCTTTAATCATCAGCTCCTCCTCTTCACTAACTCCTCCCCTTCATCAGCTCCTCCTCTTTCACCCGAAGCTCCTCCCCTTCACCACCAACTCCTCCCTTTTATCATAATCAGCTCCTTAACCATCATCAGCTCCTCCCAACATCATCATCAGCTCCTCCCCTTTACCATCAGCTCCTCCCCTTCATCATCAGCTCCTCACCATCATCAGCTCCCCCTCTTCATAAACTCCTCCGTTTCATCATCTTCAGCTCTTCTTCTTCATCACCAGCTCCTCCCCTTCATCATCAGCTCCTTCTTTCATCATCAGCTCCTCCCCTTAATCCTTATTAGCGCCCCCCTTCATCATCAGCTCCTCCCCTTTGTTATCACCTTCTCCCCTTTATCATCAGCTCCTCCCCTTCTTTCTTATTAGCTCCTCCCCTCAACATCAACTCATCCCCTTCATTATCAGCTCCTCCCCTCATCATTAGCTCCTCCTTTCATCATCAGCTCCTCCCCTTAATCTTTATTAGCTCCTCCCTTCATCATCAGCTCCTCCCCTTCATCATCAGCTCCTCCCCTTCATCATCAGCTCCTCCCCGTCATCATCAGCTTCTTCCTTTCATCAGCAGCTGCTCCCCTTCACCATCAACTCCTCCCCTTCATCATCTGCTTCTTCCCTTCATCATCAGCTCCTCCCCTTAATTCTCAGCTCCCCCCTTCACCATCAACTCCTCCCCTTCATCATTATCAACTGCTCCTTCATCGTCAGCTCCTCCCTTTCATTATCAGCTTCTCACTTTCATCATCATCATCAGTTCCTCCCTTTAATCATCAGCTCCTCCTCTTCACTAACTCCTCCCCTTCATCAGCTCCTCCTCTTTCACCAGAAGCTCCTCCCCTTCACCATTAACTCCTCCCTTTTATCATAATCAGCTCCTTATCCATCATCAGCTCCTCCCAACATCATCATCAGCTCCTCCCCTTTACCATCAGCTCCTCCCCTTCATCATCAGCTCCTCACCATCATCAGCTCCTCCTCTTCATAAACTCCTCCGTTTCATCATCTTCAGCTCTTCTTCTTCATCACCAGCTCCTCCTCTTCATCATCAACTCCTCCCCTTCATCATCAGCTCCTTCTTTCATCATCAGCTCGTCCCCTTAATCCTTATTAGCGCCCCCCTTCATCATCAGCTCCTCCCCTTTATCATCACCTTCTCCCCTTTATCATCAGCTCCTCGCCTTCTTTCTTATTAGCTCCTCCCCTCAACATCAACTCATCCCCTTCATTATCAGCTCCTCCCCTCATCATTAGCTCCTCCTTTCATCATCAGCTCCTCCCCTTAATCTTTATTAGCTCCTCCCTTCATCATCAGCTCCTCCCCTTTATCATCAGCTCCTCCCCTTCATCATCAGCTCCTCCCCTCATCATCAGCTTCTCCCCTTCATCGTCATCAGCTCCTCCCCTTTATCATCAGCTCCTCCCCTTCATCATCAGCTCCTCCCCTCATCATCAGCTTCTCCCCTTCATCGTCATCAGCTCCTCCCCTTCATCGTCAGCTCCTACCAATATCAGCAGCTCCTGCCCTTCTCCAGTAGCCCCTGCCACAGTAAATACCCAGATGGCATCTTGCACTTTATTTTACACTATTTAGACTACATAATGGCATAGATTAGTGCATAAGGATGTGATTTGAGACGCACCTAATGTGTTCATCATCTCCAGATCACACACAGTAAAGCCGCGCTCTTGTGACTCTTTCTGTTGTAAAGCGTCTGAAGCTCAGCCCTGACCTCAGTGATTTCCCTCTCCGGCGGTTTGTCCAGATGTAGTGAAGATAATGGGCTCTTGGAATTTAGGAAGTGATGTCAGCGGCGCAGCGGCCAAACCTAAAGGACTCATTATTTTAAGTGCTCAGCAGAGGAAAGCCAGTTTTTCCGGACGTTCGGGGTGAATGTCTGTGAAAAGACCCCACCAGTCACCTGACTCCAGACCCCACAGATCAGTGTTTACTCACAAACGCTAAAGCTGAATCAGCGCTCAAAACAAACACAGCGTCTGTCTGTGGGCCCGAGGCTTGAGTCACACCGTGTGGAAAACATGAGCTCATTCAGGATGGGGAGAGACCGGGAATCTCTGGATAAATGATGGACAATCTCCAATCTCAGACATGAAGCTGCAAGAACTGTCACTAGGATGGGTACTGTTACTCAGTTAAAATAGCTGGCTTAAAAATACCCCAAAATATAACCCAACTATAGGTTATTATAGCATCTTCCCAACTATAGTTTAATTTTAAAACAATGCATTCATTCATTCATTTTCTTGTCGGCTTAGTCCCTTTATTAATCTGGGGTCGCCACAGTGGAATGAACCGCCAACTTATCCAGCTCATTTTTAAACAGCGAATGCCCTTCCAGCCACAAACCATCTCTACAGAGAAACATTCACACACACTTATACACTACGGACAATTTAGTCTACCCAATTCACCTGTACCGCATGTCTTTTGGCATCCACTTGCGTAAAACATGCTGGATAAGTTAGTGGTTCATTCCGCCGTGGAGACCCCTGATGAATAAAGGGACTAAGCTAAAAAAAAATGAATGAATATAATGCTTTAATAATTATTTGTATATTTTCTAAATTTATTAAGTAGCAAGAACAGACAAAGTCAGTTAATCTCTCTCAAAATGTGTTTAAAAATATGAAATATTATTGCTCAAATTCTTGTTAAAATATTATTATTATTATTTTTTGCAGTGTCGTATTTTTGCAACAATATTATATTTATGCTCTGTGTTTGTGACGGTGATGATGTGTTAATGTGCTGATCATCACCGCAGATGTTTCCTGACTTTATTCACTGTCTCTCATTGTTCGAGCGGCTTTAAATGTGTCCTCGCCACAATCATCATCATAAGTGGCTTTTGCTTATGTAAGACTGTCTGACGGTTTTCATTCTTGTAAACAGAGTCATTATGTGGTGAACGGGACACTTTTGTACTATTTGCTACAGTTTATACAGTTGAAGACAACAAAATTAAACAACATTATTATTGTAAAAGTGTTTCCCAAGTGTTGCTTATAAGAGAGGTCACATGTCTAAACAGAATAGTTTTAATAACTAATTTCTAATAACCGATTTCTTTTATTTATTAGTTTATTTATTTATTTAAGTGGTTTGTTCAGTAGCCAATCGAAAAGTTTATATTTTAAGGGGGAGTTCGAGTCCCGGCTGGGTCAGTTGGCATTTCTGTGTGGAGTTTGAATGTTCTCCCTGTGCTGATGTGGGTTTCCTTTGCATGCTCTGGTTTCCCCCACAGTCCAAACACATGTGCTATAGGGGAATTTAATAATTATTGTGTATGAGTGTGTAGTGTATGAGTGTGTGTGTGAATGAGTGTTTAACAGTACTGGGTTGCAGTTGAAAGTGCATTCTTTGCATAAAACATATTCTGGAATAGTTGGCGGTTCATTCCACTGTGGCAACCCCTGAAATACTTCAGACTTAAGCTGAATGAAGATGAATAAATGAATGAATTTGACTATGTCAATTTTAGACTGGCTAAAGCAGACTCTAAATTAGAGGTCACCAAACTTGTTCCTGGAGGGCCGGTGTCCTGCAGATTTTACCTCCAACCCTAATCAAACACACCTGAACAAGCTAATCAAGCTCTTACTTGGTATACTTAAAACATCCAGGCAGGTGTATTGAGGCAAGTTGGAGCTAAACCCTGCAGGGACACCGGCCCTCCAGGACCAGGATTGGTGAACTCTGCTCTAAATCATCAGTCCTCATCTTGCTGGATTCGTCAGCTGCTTTTGACACTGTAAACCACCATATCCTACTATCTACGCTTGAGTCACTGGGTGTTGCAGGCACGGTTATTCAGTGGTTCGGATCTTACCTCTCTAACAGGTAATTCAGGGTGTCTTGGAGAGGAAAGGTGTCCAATCTACAGCATCTAAACACTGGGGTACCTCAAGGCTCTGTTCTTGGGCCACTTCTCTTCTCCATCTACATAACATCGGTGTGATCAGTCATCCAGAAACATGGATTCTCCTACCACTGCTATGCTGATGATACCCAGCTATACCTCTCTTGTCATCCTGATGATCCCTCGGTTCCAGCTCGCATCTCAGCCTGCCTGTCGGACATTTCACACTGGATGAAAGATCATCATCTTCAGCTGAACCTCGCAAAAACGGGAATGCTAGAAGTTTCTGCCAACCCGACTACACCATAACTTTTCAATCCAGATGGATGGGGCAACCATTACTGCATCCAAAATGGTGAAAAGCCTTGGAGTAACGATTGATGACCAACTAAACTTCTCTGACCACATCTCTAGAACTGCTCGATCGTAAAGATTCGCACCCTACAACATCAGAAAGATCTGACCCTTCCTATCTGAACATGCAGCTCAACTCCTTGTTCGAGCTCTTGTTCTCTCCAGACTGGACTATTGCAACTCTCTACTAGCCGGGCTTCCAGCTAACTCTATCATACCTCTTCAGATGCTTCAGAACGCAGCAGCACGAGTGGTCTTTAACGAACCTAAAAGAGCACATGTCATTCCGCTACTCATCCGTTTGCACTGGCTGCCAGTTGCTGCTCGCATCAAATTCAAAGCTCTGATGTTTGCTTACAAATCGATTTCTGGCTTTGCTCCTTCTTATCTGCTCTCACCTCTGCAGATTTATAGGCCCTCCAGAAACTTGCGTTCTGTGAATGAACGTCGCCTCGTGGTCCCATCCCAAAGAGGGAAGAAAACGCTTTCCAGAACGCTCGCGCTCAATCTGCCCAGTTGGTGGAATGAACTCGCTAACTGCATCAGAACGGCAGAGTCACTCGCTGTCTTCAAGAAATGACTAAAAACTCAACTATTTAGTCTCCACTTCCCTTACTAATATGCAACTACCTCTCTGACTCAACTATCTACAAAAAAAAAAAAAAATACTAATGCTTTCCTTCTTAGACTTTACACACCTGAAACTTGCCTACAGCACTTATTCATTGTTGCTCTTATAGTTGTGTAAATTGCTTTCTTGTCCTCTTTTGTAAGTTGCTTTGGATAAAAGCTTCTGCTTAATGACTAAATGTAAATGTAAATGTGTGTGATTTAGCCAATCTCTTTCCTCATTTTTTAGTCGTAGTGTATTTCAGTGGTTTATTTATCACTCATTAAAACATGAATTGTGCCGATGACTAAATTGACAACATTTTTACTCTTTGCTTTTGTGATTTTACAGCCTGAAAGATTTTCTCACCCTGATTTGTTTCATTCTGTAAGCGCTTTACTGCTAATATAAGCACGGAATGATGGAGCTTCTCACTTGATTTAGCTTGTGTATATGAGCAGTTTTCCCCATGAATAAGAGACGCTTTCATATTTCTTTCCACATAGAGGCTGGACGGGTCATCCTGTGAGGATAAAGACGTGTGTTTGAGTGCGAAAGTCTCCTCGGTACAGAATGAACACAGTTTTGCTGAACAGAAAGCACTCTTCAATAAGGAGATCAGTCAGGTATGATTACTGTACACTGGATTCATCTCAAAATCAATACACAGCAATATTGTCAATGATGGGTTCTACCAAATTAAAACAATTCATCGATGCATTTTATTTGTGTTATTCACGTGTTTTATTCATGTAACGTATTAAGTGCTTTTTGGTTATGCTTTAATATATATTTATTTTAATCATTTGAGCTGAAAGAACACTATTTACAAAGATGTAAAAAAAATATAATATATATTTCTATTTCTATTTATATACATATATACATATATATATATATATATATATATGTATATATATATATGTATATATATGTATATATATATGTATATATATATATATATATAAATGGATAAATGGATAAAAATATTCATTTTCAAAATGGGCTGTACTCAATGATGCTAAGCACTGTATATATATATATATATATATATATATATATAATGTTTGCATCCACAATAGTCACATCGCATAGATTTGCAATGTTGAGTTAGGATTATATTTGAGCAAGAGTAACAGCTCAGAACACAAGATTTGTGGAGTTATTGCACACTTTAACCATAATGGAGTGAAATGTTAGAATTTGCATGTTTGTTAAGGTCCGAGAGAGATTAAAGTACTCAGGCACAAGACCTTTTACCAATTAATAGTTTAATAAAGAATCATTTTATTGCATTATTTATACCACTAATTCGTATTTTTTACATTTACAAAACCACAAAGCATGCACTGCTTATGCCACCTTTATCTTTGCTGTATTGTATTTATCTATGCTTGTAGAATAATATTTTGTGAAATACATTTATTCCATGATTCACTCTTTTATACAGAATCCTCCAAATTAATCAAAACGAAAACATTTGGTAACACTTTAGGGACCAATTCTCACTATTAACTTATTAGCATGCATTTTAATGAGATATTGGCTGCTTATTAGTACTTATAAACAACATAATCCGCCTTATCTTCATCTACATTCCTATCCCAATACCTAAACTACCATAACACCTATTAATAATGAGCAAATGAGGAGTTCATTGACGCAAAAGTCATAGTTAATGGTTTACTAATAGCACGAAGTAAAAATAAAGTGTAACTATAAAGTCTTTCCAAAAAAGTGCTATTAAATCATATTTAAGTTAATATAAATGTTCTTAAGACAAAATACTGCTAATCACTAATAATACAGAGCAACAACAAGCATTTGCTGCAATATCTAAAAATAATAAATAAATACACAAAATAAATAAATAAACGCATAAATACACAAAAATAGATAAATACTCAAACGAATAAAACAAATGAATAAATAAACACATAAATACACAAATAAATAAAACAAATAAATAAAAACAAATAAATACACAAATAAATAAATAAAATAAATAAATAAAATGCATAAATACACAAAAATAAATGAATACACAAATACATAAAATAAATAAAAAACGCATAAATACACAAAAATAAATAAGTACACAAATAAATAAAATTAAATAAACGCATAAATACAAAAATAAATAAATAAACAAAAAAATAAAATTAATAAATATACACATAAATACACAAAAATAAATAAATACACAAATAAATAAAATAAATAAAAAACGCATAAATACACACAAATAAATAAAATAAATAAATAAAACGCATAAATACACAAAAATAAATAAATACACAAATAAATAAAATAAAATAAATAAAACGCATAAATACACAAAAATAAATAAACACACAAATAAAGAAATAAACGCATAAATACACAAAAATAAATAAATACAAAAATAAATAAAATGAATAAAAAACGCATAAATACACAAAAATAAATAAACACACAAAGAAATAATATAAATAAATAAAACGCATAAATACACAAAAATAAATAAATACACAAATAAATAAAATAAATAAAAAACGCATAAATACACAAAAATAAATAAACACACAAATAAATAAAATAAATAAATAAACGCATAAATACACAAAAATAAATAAATACACAAATAAATAAAATAAATAAACACATAAATACACAAAAAAATAAATACACAAATAAAATAAATAAATAAACGCATAAATACACAAAAGTAAATAAATACACAAATAAATAAAATAAATAAAAAAACGCATAAATACACAAAAATAAATAAACAAACAAATAAATAAAATAAATAAATAAAACGCATAAATACACAAAAATAAATTAATACACAAATAAATAAATAAACGCACAAATACACAAAAATAAATAAACACACAAATAAATAAAATAAATAAATAAACACATAAATACACAAATAAATAAATACACAAATAAATAAAATAAATAAATAAACACATAAATACACAAATAAATAAATACACAAATAAATAAAATAAATAAATAAGCACATAAATACACAAATAAATAAATACACAAATAAATAAAATAAATAAACACATAAATACACAAAAATAAAATAAATAAATAAATAAATAAATAAATAAATACATAAGTAAATACATAAATAAAAAACGAGTGTGTTTGGTCATTTAGGTTTTTTGTAAATCAGTAACTCAGTTGAGTGACTCTGTTAGTAATGTGGAAAATTACACTTGCAGTATACAGACCAAAAGTAAAGGTGGTGTAGATAAAGCTGGAAACAGAGCGTGCCGGCCCTCTGACCTGCTCAGTTTCTCTGTTTCTCTTGCTCTTTCCGTCTGAAGCCGGAGTTCGGCAGCACATGGGAGTGGGAGGGCAGAACAGCCACAAGAGGAGCAATTATTTTGGGATGAGATCATTGTTTGGCCGTGTCTGTTCACGCCTCTGGGCTTCAGAGACTAAACTGAGCGCTGGTGTTATCTCATCGCCACCATCCCGCCCGCATACAGGGACATTATTTGGGTAGATTTGCTCTGGGAAGCAGCTGCCAGACGATCTAAGATCTGTGAGATTTACTGTGTTAAAATGAAGTGGGTAGAATGGAGCCTTTGCGGGTTTCTCAGCAGCAGAAGTAGTCATAGTTGAGTAAACTTAGAGAGCAGTGAATGAGAGTACAACAAATCATTATTTAACAATCGTATTTGCTGAAATAATGAAAGAAAAACTCCATGATGGTGTTATCAAGACTTTCAGAATAAAAAACAATAGTGTGAGACTGATAACGGCAGCCAGAAGAGAGAATAATGTCAGATTTACTGTCCTGCCTCCCATAGACACTGTTACAACTGTTAGACACATTACAAACACCTCGCTTAAGCAATAATTAATTTATTGTAGTTTATTGGAAAGATGACATACAATACATACATACAATACATACATCAATATAAATGTTCATACTTTAAAAAAAAATCTAAATATTAAAAACTTTCAAGGATTTAAGATGCTGATGATGACCATTAAATGCATCATAACAGTCTCGTGAAAAGACTCCGTTGTGTTTCATGGCTCATTTCATCTGAGTGGGATGGTTTGGTACACTCAGTTATTATTATTATTATTATTATTATTATTATTATTATTATTATTATTATTATTATTATTAACAATAACATCAAAAATAATTATAATAAATAATTTAAATAATAATAATAAAAGTATTAATAATAGTAATAATAATAATAATAAGTACATAATTTCAGTAAAATAATATTAATAAATAATAATAATATTAATACATTACATTAACATTAATAAATAATATTATAATAATAATAAAAATAAATAATTTTAATAATAACAAATACTAATAATGATAAAAATAAAAGTACAATGAATAAAAATAATATTATTAAATAGTAATTAGTAACACATTAAAATAAAATGTATAAATAATAATAATAATAAAAATATTTAAATTGTATTTATATTAATAATAACAATAGTAATAATAATATTAATAATAATAATTCATAATAATAGTACATGATTTCAATAAAAATAACATGAATAAATAAATGATGTAAATGATAATAATAATAATAATAATAATAATAATAATAATGTAAATCAGAACAACAACAACAACAACAACAACAACAACAACAATAATAATAATAATAATAATAATAATAATAACAAATAATAATAATAATCATAATAAAAGTACATAATTTGAATAAAACACATATTAAATAATAATTAGTAATACATTAAATTACAATTATAAATAATAATAACAGTAATGATAGTTTAAATGATAATAATAATAATAATAATAATAATAACAATAATAAAAATAAATAATAATAATAATAATAATAAAATGTTTCAATTTAATATTGAATCAAATTTCTAATATTTTTCTTGGAGAAACTTTTTTTTAAATGTTGCCCATTATTGTACTTTCTAAAAAACACTGCCGTTTAACGCCTCGTGACTAAATAAAGGGTGGTAACGTGATCCTGCGCACCAACACGCAAAACAGCAGGCATAATGCATGCACGATTCACACGGGGCTTCAGCGTCAACGCGTGTCTGAAGTTGACGCGTTCGTCGTAGCGTCAGCCAATGGAATTAGTCCACAATCAGCTACTTTCTGCGCTGGGGTATTTGCATGAAGCGATCTGATTGATTGACGCCCCGTGTGTTACTGAATGTTAAAGTTGGGTAGCGCCATCTAACGTCAATGAGTGTTTTTGCATACTCTTCTGCTCAACGCCAGTGAAAATCGCTTGGGTTTGAATCTGGAAAAATGTGTCAAAACGCTGAATATAAACAAAAACGAGAAGGAGCCTTTAGAGTCACAATTATAATGAACAAACTATGACATAAAAGCATTTCTTCTCCGTCTAATAAATAAACATGAGTGAGTCTTGTGTGACTAATTCCACTCAAGTTATTTCATGTGTTTCTCACATCAAAAGCCGGCGGGAGATACACATCACAAAAACAAACCCGCAGCAGAGTTTGGCAAGATCTCACAGAGCAGATAAAAAAATAATATGATGTCACTTCTAATAAAAGATCAGCCATTATTTTTAATGGCTTCCCACAGGCTCAACGATATTTCTATACTGGAGGCCTGTGTAAACATTTCTATCGCCTCATTTCTACTCCAGCGTAATGAGAAACCCATGACTTCATACCGGAGGACTAAACCTTTGTTTCTTCCGCTTCCCTTAAAAACAATAGGCTGTTATTCAATAAAATAACATTCAGTAAATCAAACACAGCGCCAGGGTGAAATGATACGACTATAGAGGTTATGCCAGTGCATATAAGAGTTATGAATGTATAACTTCTAAACGGTTTGGAGTAAATTAGCAAAAGTTATTTTGGAAACATGCGGTGAAAATTTACACTACTCTATTATGTTTTTCAATGTTTTGATGTCTCTTCGGGGTGACATGGTGGCTTAGTGGTTAGCACAGTCGCCTCACAGAAAGAAGGTCACTGGTTCGAGTCCTGGCTGAGTTAGTTGGGATTTCTGTGTGGAGTTTGTATGTTCTCTCTGTGTTGGTGTGGGTTTCCCCCACCGTTCAAACACATGTGCTATAGGTGAATTGAATAGGCTAAACTAGTAGATAAGTTGGCAGTTCATTCCACTGTGGCAACCCCAGATTAATAAAGAGACTAGGCCAAGAAGAAAATGAATAATAATAATAATAATACAACTCTAAGGCAATGTTTTTAAGAATATTACATTGAAATATTTAATTATCGTTATTATTATTCATTATTATTATTATTAATGTTGTTGTTAATAATAATAAAAATAAAGTATTATTTATATTATTATTCATTATTATTAATGTTGTTGGTAGTATTTATTTATTTGTTTGGTTTTATGACTTAATTTTGTTAAATTAGTGTTTATTATATTACATTTTTAATATTTTAAAAAAATTATATGTATATATTAGCCCTGTACGTTTTTATTGTTGTATTAGCTTTTATTGTTGTATTTATAATGCATTTCTATGTTTGTTTTGTATTTTTGAGAATATTGTTATTGTTTCCAATTATTAATGGCTAACATAAAAATGTTAAATATTCATAATTACAATGATATTTTCAAATATTTAGTAACTCAAAAAAACATATATAAAAATCTTTTTAATGTTATATTTGAAATAATTTCTAAAATCTTTGTTAACCTTTAATTTGATGCTACAACTAATTATTAATTAGCCATTTTCTTGTTGTTGTTGTTTGTTAATATTAGTTTTATTTTTATTATTGTTAATTAATTAATTAATGTTTTTGTTATTGTTGTCATTCTTAATATTTAATAATAATAATACTAATAATAATAATTCATGTTATTATCATTATGATTGTTATTATTATTATCATCATCATTATCATACCTTATAATAATAATACTGTTATAATATTTTACAATAATTTTTATATAGTTTTGTTTTTATTATCATTGTTGTTGTTTTTGTTTTTATTATTATTATTATTTGGTATTATTATTATTATTATTATTATTTTTGTCAATATTATTTTTAATATTATAATTTTAGTTATTATTATTATTATCATTATATTTGTTGTTATTTATTATAATTTATGTTATTCTCATTCTCATTGTGATTGTTATTTTTATAATTTTTAAATCTTTATTATAATAATTATTAATATTATTAATAATAAACATAATATGTATTCATTCATTTTCTTTTCAGCTTAGTCCCTTTACTAATCAGGGGTCGCCACAGCGGATTGAACCGCCAACTTATCCAGCACGTTTTTACGTAGCGGATGCCCTTCCAGCCGCAATTCTTCTCTGGGAATTATCCACACACTCATTCACACTCATAAACTAGGGACAATTTTGCTCACCCATTTCACCTGTACCGCATGTCTTTGGACTGTGTGGGGGAAACCGGAGAACCCGGAGGAAACCCAAGCGAGAACATGCAAACTCCGCACTGAAACGCCAACTGATCCAGCCGAGGTTCGAACCAGTGACCTTCTTGTTGTGAGGCAACAGCACTACCTACTGCGCCACTGCGTCGCCTAAATATATTATTATTATTATTATTATTTTTGTTAGTATTATTATTATTGCTGTTGTTATTATTATTTTCATTATGATTGTTATTATTATTATCATCATCATTATTATAATTGTGATTATTAATAATAATAAAATATAATACTATTATTATTATTTATTATTATTTTTTGTTAGTATTATTATTATTGCTGTTGTTATTGTTGTTATTATTTTCATTATGATTGTTATTATTATTATCATAATCGTTATTATAATTATTATTATTATTAATAATAAAATATAATACTATGATTATTATTTTTTATTATTATTATTGTTAGTATTATTATTATTATCATCATCATCAGACATTTTCTGAAAAATATGGGATACACAAATAAAACCAGATGTCTTGTCACCAATGACTCACATGCATTAGTGCAAGACAAATTATGAGATGAAATGTAATATCTAACATGCACAACAGCAATGCATTCATATAATTATTAGTACTGTTGGCCAAAGAAACCCTCACTCAGCCATCTCCTTATGTTTAGCCTGAAATGTTGGTTTTGTTGGCTCTGGAGGTCACTGTGTGTTTAGTCATGTAGAAATGACAGCTTCATTTAGCTGTGCTTTCGTCTGCAGGGATGTGGGTGGGCTTTTTTGAAGACCGCCAGTGGTCATACATTGTGTTCATACCAAATAAACATGTCCAAGACCTATCTGGACTCCACCACCTGTTTTCTATTGGCGTCGTGCAAACATGGCCAGAAGTGGTGCTTTCAAAAGCCTTATGCAACAATCTTTGTGCTGCGGCCAGGAGAAAACTCCAGCGCTCATAACATGAGATCTGAGATGAATCGTTCCTGTAAAGCGAGACTCAAGTAATCGCTGCTTTCTTCAAAAAACATTGCAGAAACGTCACTCTGCTCTGCGGGAAATCATAAGAGAGTGTTTGTGACTTCACACATGCGCTGTTAAAAATCTATTTGCTTAATATTGGGTTTCCAGAGAGCTCTCAGGAAAGCAAGCGAGCGTAAAATAGGCCTTAAGTGTCTCAACATGTGTTCATGTGTTCGAGATTTAATAATAAAAAACAGAACGGATTAAATTAACATGATGAGATCCAGGCCGTGTAGTTCAGAAACAGCTCACTTTAGACACTCTAAAATAAATATATGTTCATTAAAATATGTAAAATATAAAAAAAATATCTGTAAATTAGCAGTTTTTTCCGTATTTTTGATTCATGTTTTTATTTTTTCACATTTATTTCTGCTTTTGAATTGTGTTATGGGAGCTTGATCTTTCTTACAACAACTTTTATATGGGATTATTTCACTGACAAATGTTAGCAGCGCAGAATTTACTACAAGTCGAGCGCATTCATGTAATACGAGCGAGCAAATCTCTTTGCTTGCGTGCAGAAGTCCTGTGTTTGTGGACAAATGCTCGCGAGCTCTCAAATGTACGCTGCTCGCGTGCAAAACTTCCCGCAGGCACTCAAATATACGCTGCTTGGGCACAGATTTTCTTGCACACTCTGTTACAACCCTTTGTTTGTCTCGTCTCATCAGTTTGTTTGTTTTTTTTCTGTTTTGCTTAGAACACATCTAATTGGCCACTTCCAGCTTGCTTGTTCCTGATTGGCCTACAATGTTTTAAAAAGCCATGACTCTACTTTCTTGGCAGCCATCTTGTTTTTGGTCACTTCCTTTGTGTTTGTTGAAACGTTTGTATGTGGTATAGTGCAGAGTTTTTGGATGTGTTAAGACTGGGAATGTTGAGATTTGTGAGTACAAATGTGAGTACATGTTGAGATTTGTGAGTTTGTTTTGCGTGACTTCTGAGATTATATTGAGAATTGTGAGCACTGTTTGTTTTAGTGTTTGCTTTGTTTATGATACTTTTTTCCACCAGGCTTATTTGACCTCCCTGCTGAAAAATCCAGCTTAAACCAGCTTATGCTGGTTGGCTGGTTTTAGCTGGTTGACCAGCTAAAACCAGCCAACCAGCCTAGGGTGGTTTAAGCTGGATTTTTCAACAGGGCTTTGTTGCCTGCTGACATTAATTTTGGATTGTCCTTCAAATATGGTTGCCTGTTTTTGTAAATACTTTGTAAATAGTGTATATATATTATATATATATTCACATTTTATGTATGTGTGTGTATACACATACATACAAAACTTATCGCACGCACTCTAAACACTGTCTGCTCGCGTGCAAATTATCTGCTCTTGCTCTAGTCAGATGATGCGGACAAACACTTTGTGCCTTGTGTTTCCTCTTTCTTTTGTGTTTTTGCTCTACTGAGATCCTCCTGTTAAATCGGTTATCCCAAGAATGTTGATATGTTTTATTTATTGGTACATTTAATAACAATACACGAAAAACTAAAAGGTTCAGGTAAATTCGATAATAATTATAATAATGTTTTTTTCTTTGCACTGATGAATTGTTCAACACAAAACTAGCAATGTGAGCTAGCAAAATCAATATAGTGATTTTTGATTGCATGTGTACTTTAAAGGAGGTGTTGTGTGTTTCTCAGGCTGAGATGTGGATCCGAGCGAAGCTACGAGACCTGAGGGATGGAAACAACGTCCAAAAGAGTCCTGTGACGGACTGGGAGGAGGCATGTCAGACGCTCAAGAGAGACTTGAAGGACTTTGAAAACACTGTCATTCAGCTCAATCAGGTGAGACGAACCCTCGAGTTAAAGATCGATGAATCATTTGCTCGCAGGACGTCAGGCTTCAACAGGACCCGCAGCCAACATTAACAAAAGAAGTTCTCCCTTCTGCAAATAAACGGCAAAACATTTACAAATTGTTATGGAAACAATCATGAGTTCTGCTTAATGCTGACTTGTCAAAACACCATTTTTTAACAGCTCGCTTTTACAAGATCTGCAGAACGTCAGAGAGCTTCCTGTGAGACGTCCAGGATAACAAAAAACATAGTTTTTCCCAGTGGAGATGCTAAATTTATCCTCCTTCCTTCATTTTGATATATTGTCGGTACGGGTGCTTGAAATCCTCCAAATGCTTGAATTTGCTTTAAAGGTTTGAGAAGTGCTGTGGTTGTGGATGAAGTGCTTGGAACGGTTAATTGTGTTGCTTTTGTAATCATTTATCTTACTAAATAAAGCAATAATAATTAACTATTTATTCATTCATTCATTTTCCATTGGGTTAGTCCCCTATTTATCCAGGTCACCACAGCGGAATGAACCGCCAACTATTCAGTCATATGTTTTTTGCAGTGGATGCCCTTCCAGCCACAACCCAGTTCTGGGAAACATCCATACACTTTCGCATTCTCACACACACACACACACACACACACACACACACACACACACACACACACACACACACACACACACACACACACACACACACACACACACACACTCATACACTATGGTCAATTTAGTTAGTCCAATTCACCTATAGCGCATGTGATTGGACTTTGTCTGTAGCGTGATCGGTCTTTTAAATTTTCTGTCTGCACTTTTGAATATAAAATAAATATTAATTTAAAGATGACACATTTAATATGGTAGTAAATGACTTTTAAGATAGTAAATGAAAGTAATGGAATGTTGGAGAAAAATGCCAGTAAAATTATCCTCAGAATACTGTACTTTACTACAGAATACAATAATGATTAGCATCATAACAATCAAAAGTTCTTCTTAATGCTGAAAAACACAATTTTTTTTAACAGCTCGCTTTACAAGATCTGCACAACGTCAGATGTTTTTCCCAGTAGAGATGCTAAATTTGTCCCCCTTCCTTCATTTTGATGTTAGGGCTGTGCAATTAATCGAAAGTACGATTTCGATTTGGGCTTTTAACGATTATGAAAAAGCATTAATCGAGATAAACGATTATTGCATTATATACCGCCCCCTTTCCAGTTGAACACATTTGTTGCTCTTAAAAGCGCGAAAGATCGCATGCTTATGTGCGTGTGTGTGCGGCGCGCAGACACAGTCAGAAGCATGCCGTCAGCATTCGGTCTCATTCATACACTGATGAGCAGAGCGCACACATCTAAAGTCATCTTAATGTGAGCGCTTTAATGGTCAAATAGGTGTCAAAACGTGGTGTTTAGTGATTATTCATATTAACCCTCATTTGTGTAATAAACAAATGAGTTGAGAATCAAAAGACACGTGAAAGAGAAACCATTAAAGTGACAGCGCAAAATTCCTGCTGCCGCCTGTTTTTATCATTATTAATAAAACAGCAAGGAGAAAATCCTTCGTTGCTCTTGACTGAAGGACTTTTGTAGCTAAAGTGTTTTTCTTACAGTGAAGATGCTTAAAGCACAGTTTGTTTCATAAGTTTATTCTATTGTATTTATTTCTCTTTCCTCTGTATAGGGTGGAAATAACTGTATATATGCAGTTGAAGTCAGAATTATTAGCCCTCCTGAATATTAGCAACCCTTTTCCTCCAATTTCTGTTTAATGGAAAGAAGATTTCTGAACATAATAGTTTTAATAACTCATTTCTAATAACTGATTTATTTTATCTTTGTTATGATGACAGCACATAATATTTTACTAGATATTCTTCAAAATACAAGCATTCAGATTCAAAGTGTAATTCAAAGGCTTAATTAAGGTAATTAGGCAGTTCATTGAATAACAGTATTATTCAATTATCTGCAGTTTCTTCTGCAGATAATCAAAATATATATTGCCTAAAGGGGCTTTAAATAAATAATTTATTATGTCTTATTTATGTCTTTAAATAAATAATTTATTTAGGCCTATTTTCATCATTCATTTATTTTCATTATTCGTTTATTAGTATGTACAATTGTTGAGAAATAAATAAGACAGTAAAATATAATTAACAAAAATGGAAATAAAAACAGAAATAAAACATAAATGAAAATGTCTTGTCTTAGTCCTATCAAAATAGCAAACACTGAACATCTTTCTATATTTAGGCTGCTTTATTTATTTATTTATTTATTTAAGACTACTTATTTGTACTAAATGTTTGTGCTTTTATTTTAGTTGTCTTTTACTTCTTCAATTCTATTTTCCAAAACGAATCCTCTTTGCACTTAAAAAGTTTACAATAAAGCGTGTTAACAAATTTTAAATGATTAATGAAGGACTTATAATGCTTTGACTTATTGTTTAATATCATTTACAAGCACAGTAGCATATTTAAAGCTGCTGTAAAGGCTATTTCTTTCCGTTCGCATCCCGTCCCTTTGCGCCCCCTGGTGGCTTATTCACAAACTGCGGTCCTACACTAAAAACAGAGCGGCAGTTATTTCAAACGGCGGCGGTATAAGGCACGGCGGTAAGAGTCACTTTGAACTCTCACCTACTGTATAATATTGACCTTAAAGTGGGTTTCAAAATATTTAGACCTGCTTTTATTTTTGCCAAAACAAAACAAATAAGCCTTTCTCCAGAAGAAAAAATATAAGAGGAAATACTGTTAAAATTCCTTGCTCTGTTAAACATCATTTGGGAAATATTTACTTTTTAAAAAATTCTCAAGAACGCTATTAATTTTGACTTCAACTGATAATCGTTTTGAATAATCGGGTTTACAATTATGACCGAAGTAATCGTGATTGTGATTTTTCCCAAAATCGAGCAGCCCTATTTGATATGTTCTTGAAATTTTACAATATCTACAGAAAAGAAACTGCATCAGGAAAGTGCTTAAAATTTTCTTGGGGAAAGTGTCGGAGCCCCGTATAGAATTTTGCACGTAATTAACCTTTCCTGACACTCATCATCCCTTGTGGCCTTCAAACCGGAACTCTTGTTGGTCTAAAATGAATAGTTGGGTGGATTTCAACGGCACTTGATTTGATGATTAAGCTTTAAGTTGGAGCGGCCTGTTAATCATCTGAATGCTGATGTTTGTCCAGATGGGAGAGCAGTTAATGTGCAAACTCAACCCCACGTCTGACCTGGTGAAGAAACAGCTGGCTCAGATCCGCGACCAATGGAACACGCTCAAACTGACTGCCGCCAATCAGATGAAGGCAATGGGTGGGGCTAAGAATCTGCAGGAGTTTAATAGGAAGGTGGAGCGTCTGGAGGCGTGGATCAAAGAGAAGGTTAAACATGTCATTACACTCATTAATACTGATTAAGCTTACTGTTGACAATTTCCTGTAGAATCTACCATAGCTTACTTGCAGCAGTTAATTACAAGAAAAACATGATTATTTAAACGCAAAAATACTCTATTTACATTTACAGCACCATTTGTCTTGCTGTATATGTATTTACATTAAAATATGCAGTAATTTCCATGATGCAACTTTTTTAAATACACAGTTTATATAGGGTATATGGCGAGCTAGTGCTGTTCCCATACTGATAAACTTCCGGTGACCTGTTATTGTGAGTTTTTTTCCATTTTATACGGTTCCTTTGTTGTACTGTCATTAAAATACATTCAGTTCAACAGACTTTGGCATTCATTTAGTTGCTCAAGCATACCATCATACAATCTTAGACCCACTTTATATCGGATATCACTCATCCAGTGGAGATCAAAGAAAACAGACCTTAAACTTGCCGATTTTGCAATGTATTACAGTTCACCAGAAGAGCTTAACCCAGGTTACTGGCAAATTAGAAGTCCTACTAGCATACTTCAGCATATACCGTATGACAGTGAAATTCTGTATAGTTTACAAAAATCGTTATCGGTGTAAACCTAAAAGAGATTTTTTTTTTTTGTGGATGATTTCCTAAATTAATGATGTCAATGGTTCGTATGGGATTACATAGAGAGCATAGAGACGGATGAACCCCACAATGCATGCAAAAATAAGAAGAAGAATTTATAGATTGAGGAAAGAATTTCCAGGCTCCATAGTAAGTTATGTTATTTTTATAAGTGCATCTTCCATGAAATTTAGTTGTATGCTACATCAATGCACCAAAATAATAAAATAAATGATAACAATAAACAATATATACATATTCATACAGCAAAAGTAATACTTCAAACCATACTGTAAATGCTTTATTGGAATACAATCCTTACTATTATGATTTACAAATATTTTAGACCATAATGCTACTGTTTTTTGATATTAAAATTGGTTATATTTTATATAAATTACTAGCTTTATAAACAAATATTTAGCTGTAATATTAGTATATTTCATATCAAAATTAGTCATATTTTATATAATCTATACTGCTATGTTCAAATACTTTTTACTCTAATGCTACTTTTTTATATTAAAATTTGTTATATATATATATATATATATATATATATATATATATATATATATATATATATATATATGTATTTATTTATGTATTTATTTATTATATTATATTATATTATGTTATATTATATTATATTATATTATATTATATTATATTATATATATATATATATATATATATATATATATATATATATATATATATATATATATATATATATATATATTATACATATAATATACTACTGTGATGTAATTTTTTTACTGTAATACAGTAAAAAAATATATTATTTTTTTATCATTATTTTTTCACATTAAATTTAGTCTTATTCTATATAAAAACTGCCAGGATGTCTCTTCACTCCACCTATAGCTGGTGTGTGGTGAGTGCACTGGCGCCATTGTCCTGTGGCTGTTGTCGCATCATCCAAGTGGATGCTGCACACTGGTGGTGGTGTGGAGAGACCCATCCCTTTATGATTGTGAAGCGCTTTGGGTGAATGTTCGCGCTTGTTAAATGCACTATATCGATACACGTTACATTACATGATGTCAAAAAAATTATATTTGTTTTACTATTATTATTTTAATTGTATTGTTTTTTATTCAAATGAACACCTTTTTTTTTAATTTTAAAAAACAAATATGAGCATGATGTAAAATACAAATGCTAGCATGATGAAAAAATTGTAATTTATTAAATTTAACAAAGAAAAATGAGGCTTTCTTAAGGTCCAATAATTAGCATTTGAATCGACATTTATTTTGGTGCTTTAAAATATACTTTATTTTATAAATGTGTGATTTGCACACTGTAAACTGTAAATAATCATTCAGGTTATAAGAAAATCTGTAATCTGAGAGTTCAACAAATCTCAATATTAAGAAAATCGCCTTTCAAGTCCATATTAAGTTATTAATTAGCAATGCATATATTACTGATCAAAATGCAGTTTTAATACATTTATAGTAGTAAATCAACATGGAATATGAACTTTACTAAATATTCTCATATTTTTTTGCCATAAAATCATAGACTGTAAAAAATATGGACATAAGTATTCATGATGTCACCCAGAGATTTCTAAAGAACGCAAATGAAGCTACAAGTTGGCGTGGCCATTTTGTTTACTGAAAATTGGCAAAGAGGCGGAGCTGCAGATGCCTGCTAGCATTTTGTTTAAATGAGTTTTCTTTGTTAGAAATGCTTAATACTTCATTACCTGTGACTCGTTTGTGTTCTGACCACATGTGCTTGGTTGTGCACTATATCAATAAAGTGTTTAGTCTTTTAAAAACACTGTTGTAATACATTGAGCCACCAAACAATGTTCTTATGATGTTTTTCTACAGGAAGAAAGTGCTATTATCTCCAAATACTTCAAATATAGTCTGTGTTAGTAAATGCAAGGCTATTTATGAAATCCAGACATAACACTGTATGATAACCTGGGAAATGGAGGCCATTTGAATGGTTTGTGAGCACAATTAAGTCCACTGCATGCCATATTTTCTGATAATTGTAAGAAATGATCCCAAAAAACAATTGAATGTTATAAAACAAAACAAAAATACAATATATATATGCTGAGTTCAGTGGCTAATCAGCCGGAATCAGCTGAGGTGACTGCGAGCAGCGAGACGTAGCTGTCACTCAAGTGACACACCCTTAATAATGCAGATTTAAATAAATGAAACGAATGAGTTATAAAAACAAAATCACCCCCTCACAATTGTCATAAAGGGTAATATTAGCTATATAAAGCAAACTCTTCTGTGAATCTGTTTTTATCAGCTGTAAAAATGGCCAATTTAACATTGAAGTCAGTGAACATTTGGAGTCTTTGGAGCCAGCCCCTAAAGGCCAGTCGATGAATTGCAGTTTCAGTTACTTCCATATTTGCTTCACGAGGGAGAGTGGGATGTTGCTGCTTGCATATAATACAGCATATTCTCATTTTAAGATTGGTTTTGTGGGCCAAATGTCATCTTCTGGGGTATTATTGCTGTTTTCTTTCACTCAGTAATCTACAATCTGCTGTGCATCTCCATGCAGGTGTTTTCCTCACCGATCTGTTTTAGTTTTCTCCATGGTAGCCTGGCTCATGTACAGCAACAGTAGCCCAACTGAAAGAAAACAGCGTCTGAAAAGCTTTTATTTGTGTCAGCAGGAGCAGGAGCAGTCGCTGGCCAACATCCTCGGGGAGAACATTGACAAGATGCAGATTACCAGGAAGATCCTGGATTTAAAGCAGGTGAGTGTTTCCAGACTCTGCTGAATCCTCCACAGGCCACAATCACCAACAATCAGAGTTTCACTGTTTTATTTAGTACAGGTGCTTCTGGTTTGTGCTGCTTCTGAACGTCTGTTTCTGCACAAATAAGACAGCAGTGGATGTTTACTTGATTTATTACCGACTGATTCACTACAGCCAAGCCAAAGAGAGCATTCTACTTCTACTGTCATGATCTACAAATATATTAAATTAGGATTTTACTCTAATGATGTTTTTTTTTTTTTTAATGCAGTGTAACAATACTTTATACAAATAATTTTATATAATTTTAACTCCTATTTGCTACGACTTTTGCTGTTATTAATTAATTCATTCAAGTATTTATTTATTTAAATTGTAATGCAACACTACCATGATATAAAATATTTTCAATATTAGAAATAATCGTTTACTCCTACAGTATTTACTCCTACTTTTACTGTTTATTTATTTATTTGTTTCTGTCTTTTTTATTTATTTTAATTGTAAAGCAGCTCTTCCATGTTTTAAATGATTTATATTTTCATTTTCTACTACTTCATTTATTTTTTATGTATTTATTTATTTAAATTGTAATGCAACTCTACCATGATATAAAAATATTTTCAATATTTGTTTACTCCTATTTGCTACTACTTTTTCCAATTTATTTATTTATTTGTTTGTTTGTTTGTTTATTTATTTATTTATTTATTTATTTATTTATTTATTTATTTTTATTTAATTGTAAAGCAACCTGTAAGGCAGTGGTGCAGTAGGTAGTGCTGTCGCCTCGCAGCAAGAAGGTCGCTGGGTCGCTGGTTCGAACCTCGGCTCAGTTGGCGTTTCTGTGTGGAGTTTGCATGTTCTCCCTGTCTTCGTGTGGATTTCCTCCGGGTGCTCCGGTTTCCCCCACAGTCCAAAAGACAATTGTAATGCAACACTACCAGGATTTAATTTATATATATATATATATATATATATATATATATATATATATATATATATATATATATATATATATATATATATATATATATATATAATTTTTTTAATTCCTTCAAATTGATCTGATTTTGTGGCTCAATCTTATTTCTCAATATTTTTTTTCACCCTTTTCACATGTAAGCCAAAAGATGATTGTACTAGATTTGGGAATATTAGGCATGATGAAACTATGATTGTGTTGCATGTGTCTGAGGTTTAGTAAGAGCTCTGGCCATCTCGTGTCTGTTTCAGGATGAGCAGCTTTATCGTAACCTTCATGAGGAGATCAACCAAATGGCTCTCAGACTGGAAAAACAGGGAAAGACTGAAGGAAAGAGCATCTCAGCCCACAGAAAACACATCAACAAAATGTTAGTGCACAGAATAACAATGCATGAAAGCATAATTAATGTCTAATTAGAGTCATTTACTAAATTTAAATATATATATATAATTTGCATAAATTGGTTAAATAGTACAAAATTTTCAAGTTAGATATAATGATATTGATGTAAAATAACATTTAAAGGGAATTTGTATATCTAATTTTGAATAAAATATGGTGTAATGTAATACCTGTTTTATCATATAATAAGAATAAAATTAAAATATACGCAACTTTTAAATGTTTATAAATTTTATGCACATCATAATTTTTGTAACAACGAAAAGCAAGCTAATAAAATATACATAATTATTAAACAACTATATGCATTGTATAATCATTTACTGTTTAAAAATAACACAAAAATATATTAATAATAATAATAATAATAATTTGTTTAATGGTTTTATTATTAACCTAATAGGAATACATGTAGAAATACATTGTTATTGTTATAATAATTATAATGATGATGAAGATAAAATAATATTGATGATGAAGATAACGACGACAAAATAATAATAATAATAATAATAATAATAATAATGCATCATGATCATAGTAATAATAGATGAATACATGTTAAACAAATTATATTTCATAATTATTTTAATTCAATAATCTCATATTTTTTCACTATGAATTTCACCATGCATTATTTGTCATCCACTCAGCTGGCTGAAGGCCCAGTCGCACTTGAAGGAGCATCATGAGAATCTGCAGCTCGCTCTGGAAGTCTCGTCCTTTTACCAGCAGGCAGAAAACATCATCTGCTCCATCATCAGCATGGTAATAATAATTAATCTTTCATATTTTTTGTCATCAAAACCAGGTTCTGTGTCATCTGATGTATGAATATGTGGACATGATGATGTGATCAGCAATATTATTTAATGCTTCACTCTCCTTAACTTTTTATATGCAGAGAAAAAGCCCCAGCAGTGGAGTGGGAAACAGCAGAGATGGAGAAATCCGGGACATCGCCAGTCAAATCATGGTGTGTGAATCGACATTTCATTGAAAAAACTAGATTGGGATCAATGGAGTTTTTTTGTTCTTTTAAAGCAGGGGTCACCAAACTTGTTCCTCAAGGGCCGGTGTCCCGCAGATTTTAGCTCCAGCCCTAATCAAACACACCAGAACAAGCTGATCAAGCTCTTATTAGGTATACTTGAAACAACCAGGCAGGTGTGCTGAGGCAAGATAGAGCTAAACCCTGCAGGGACACCGACCCTCCAGGACCAGGATTGGTGACCCCTGTCTTAAAGGATTAAGTTTCTACTTAAGCTTCTCCCCTTCATTAGGAGCCCCCACACTCATCATCAGCTCCTCTCCTTAATCATCAGCTCCTCTTCTTCATCATCAGCTCCTCCCCTTTATCATCAGCTCCCACCATTATCATCAGCTCCCACCATTATCCTCAGCCCTTCTTCTTCATCATCAACTCCTCTCCTTAATCATCAGCTCCTCCCCTTCCTCATCAGCTCCTCTCGTTCATCATCAGCTCCCCCCATTATAATCAGCTCCTCCCCTTTATCATCAGCCCTTCTTCCTTATCATCAGCTCCTCCCCTTCATCATCAGCTCCTCCCCTTTATCATCAGCTCTTCTTCCTCATCAGCTCCTCCTCTTCATCATCAACTGCTCCCCTTCATTATCATCAGCTCGTCCCCTTTATCATCAGCTCTTCCCCTTCATTATCAGCTCTTCTTCATCATTAGCTTCTCCCTTTTATCATCAGCTCCTCCCATTTGTCATCAGCTCCTCCCATTCATCATCAACTCCTCCCTTTTATCATCAGCTCCTCCCATTCATCATCAGCTCCTTTTCATCATCAGCTCCTCACCTTTATCATCAGCCCCGCCCCTTCATCATCAGCTCCTCCCCTTCATCATCAGCCCCTCCCCTTCATCATCAGCCCCTCCTCTTTATCATCAGCTCTTCTTCATCATCAGCTCCTCTTCTTCATCATCAACTTCTCCCCTTCATCATCAGCTCCTCTTCTTCATCATCAGCTCCTCCCCTTCGTCAACAGCTCCTCCCCTTCATCATAAGCTTCTCTTCTTCA